TAAATATTAACGTTAGCCCGCGACTTTGTTCCAGTTTTGAATTTTGGCCCACTGTGTATTTGAGTTTGACACCCCTGCTGTAGCAGATAGTCTGATAGTCTCTGCATAAACGTTTTTGAAGTTTGTACACATAGCGTTCGGTGTTGTGTTAGAACCAAGAGCAGCATAAAGAGAACATCTGTGAAAACCTTGTATTTACTCTGAATCTGAATATTATGTAGAAAAGGTATTTAAATATATTTATTCTTACAAGGTTAAAAAAAAACAACAACAACATTAAAATCCCTGCATAGAGACTATAAAAATATAAAACTATGCTTGAAATCACAGAATTTCATCATGAAGTCTGTGATGAATAAATTCTTTATGTACTGTAATCAGTGTTTATGTTCAAGCTGGAGAAGGTTTGGGCGTCTCTGTTTAGGCTGCTGCCCCAGCGACCCGGACCCAGATAAGTAGAAGAAGATGGATGGATAAAAATTGTTGGAAGTAAATTTGATTGTGTTACACTGCATATCCTTGCAAGATGCTAAAACTTGACCCTTCCCTCTTTAACGTTATACGACACCTGTAAAATCGACTGTTTTCCTTGTCTGTTGATTAAAAAGGTGAACAAACCACCGTTTGGCTTAACATATTGATCCTCCATCACATCAGCGTTCTGAATGCTTTTATTGTGAAAGATTGCTGATCATTAGTGGTGCTGGCAACGCCGCCTGTTGGCCGATTGTGCTTCCTGTGATGTTCAGTTAGTTGCCTGGAGTTTCAGCGAGACTACCTGCTGATCATGTTTACTTCTCTGTTAATTAAAATTCTCTTCAAAATTTCTCACTCTTTTATTTCCATGCGGAATGGAAGAAGACTAAATCTCTTTTATAAATAACAAGAATTAAATGGTGTGACAGAGCTTGAAACAGAAGCTCTGAGTTAGCAGAGAAAGTTGATAACATAATCAACCATTATCTGTGACCAGAACAGCAACAACAACCTCCATCTAAGCTGTGCAAGACAACACGAGCAGCTGAAATGCAGGTGCCTCTACGTGACACCACAGGAAATGAGGAGAAAACACAAACAAAGAAAAGTACAGAGAAAAAACAGACCAAAGCTGACAGAGGAAGCAGAAAGGCACATATGAAATAACCAAAAAGCTGTAAAACTGTAGTCTGTAAAGTGAAGAAGTAGTATGTAAGTTTCCAACCACTGTGACACTTCGGGCTGTGAACACATTAAGCTGATCTAACTCATATAACCTTTGAAAGCCTGAACCTACCATGTGAAGACCTCTATTCACTGAAATCAATACAGCAGTAATCAGTACAGATAAACAAAGATTAAAATGTGAAATTAAAAATATATTAATTCCGACTCAGCATTAGATGCTTTGGAAAGACTGTAGTCACATGTCTCTTCCTCTTTATTTCTGATACTGTATTAAGGCCTGGCAGGGACTCTGGCCCATCTCTGAAGGAGACAGAAAACCATTCACACTCAGATTCACACCTAATCAATTTAGAAATATCAATTCACTTCTCCCCACTAACTGCATGTCTTTGGACTGTGGGAGGAAGCTGGAGTACCCGGAGAGCAGCCACGCAAACATGGGGATAACATGCAAATTCAGCACAATTTGTTCCTGTGAGGCGACAGTGCTAATGACTACTCTGCTCCCTGTATGTGCTGTGTGAGCTGTATTTATTTATTTTCATTCTCATTCCTTTCTATTCTTACTCTATTTCTATTCAAGTACTGTTGGGATTATTCTTAGTTTATCTTATTTCTGTATACATGTATATTTGATTTTTTTTTTTTTTTTTTTACAGTTTTCACCTTTGATCCAGGAGGACGATATTTTGTCCCACTGTATACTTGATGGGTTGACAATAAAACTCGATTTTCACAGCACTTTACTTGTTGTGTTAGGGTTAGGTCTCATTCCAAAATGAATTAAATTCATTTTTCACCTCAAAATTCTGCACACAACACCCCATAATGACAAAATGAAAAAAAAGTTTGCTTGAATTTTTTGCAAATTTATTAAAAATAAAATACAGAAATATAGCATGTATGAGGAGTAGTAAGTAGAAAGTAGTAGTAGTAAAGACTGGTGTTCAAAATTTGCTGCATAATCTATCATATACATTCATAACAATAAAGACAGAGACTGGTGCAAAAGTACAATAACAATAAACACAAACATATAGGTAATAGTGCTATTCACTTTGAGATGTGCAAACACACAGTGTTGTTTTATGAGAACAGACAGGTAGACTTTTGTAATTTGGATAGACTTTATTCATCAAAGGAGATGTAACACAGAATATAGCATAGAATAACTAAATGCATTAACAATATGATACAATGTTTTTTATGACCAAATTCATTCAAATCAATTCAATTTTAATTGAAAATTTTATATTTTTGGTGCTAAATAAAAAACAACAACAGCTGATTCAAGGCGTTTTGCGAGAGTTGTCATTTTGTATGTTACAGTTAGTCAAATATCCAACTGTTAGTCTCACAGCTACAGTGAGTAAACAAAAACCAGTCCACCAGATGTATTATGCTATGACATGGGCCTTTTATATGTTTTCATTAATGAAGCCAATATGAGTATAAAAAGGAATAATTTCATAATCCGTTTTATTAATTCAATACAACGGCCCTTGGATTAAAATTTGTTGTCTACAATGTTTTCTTTGATATTCTGGTTCCAAAAATCATGGATGTTCTAAATTTAAGAAAGCAAAGCAAGAAAAACCTTTAGTGTCGGGATAAAATAAGAACTGCGATCACAATCACACAGAGAGCCAGCAGCATGCCGAGCACAATGACAACTGGGTCCCACTTTTGTCCTAAAATCAGAAAACAAAACACACAAAATTCTTTCATTCTCATTTATAATTTGTAAACGGAAAATATTATCAAATGTCATAAAAGAAACACTGAATAGTTTTTACCATAAGTGGATTTCACTTACTAATAACATTTTAAGTCCGTCTCTGTGAGCCATGAAATGCTTTATGATAAATGTGGAAAGCATTAAGAAATTAATTCTGAGCTTTTTTTTAGGTTTAGAGGTTTAAGAGTTTTATGCCATTTAAGTCCACAAGTCCACAGGTAACAGTAGCAAATCAAATATTACATTTACATTAATGCATAATATAAGAATTACAGATATTTTTTAAAGTCCTATCAAATGATGATTGATTCAATGAAGTGAATTAGCATGTAGGAAAAAATCAGCAAAAGATTTTAGCCAATTAGAAGTGTGACCATTTAAGATCTCTATATAATTAAGCAAAGTAATTTTAAAAAATATACATACCTATCTCAACCACAGTTCCTTCACTAAACAGGATCTGTCCACATGTCACCACAGCACAGTAGTACGTCCCAGCATCAGATGAGTTTGTTACAGTTTTGGACAGACTGTAGTCACATCTCCCGTCCTCTTTATTTCTGAGACTGCCGTGGTAAATGACGCCTGGATGGACGTCTGATGCACCTTTTGCCCAGTGCACTTTGTCTTCATCTGGACACTGATCTGTGTCATCTTTGTTCTCAGAGAGGAGCGAACACTGCAGAGTCATCGTATCTCCCAAATGTACAGACTCCACGTCTGAAGTTTGTTTCACGGTGACAGATTTCTGCAGCGTTTTTGTATCTGTGTGAATCATAAAAAGTCATGAAATAGCATTAACTGTAATTATTTGGGTTTAGAAGCAGATATGACAAAAACAGTCAAATTAAAATACGTTACCATCCACGACCAAAAGCGTGCTATTAAAAAATTCTATTATGTATGCCGTTCCTCCTTGGCATAAGTATGTCGCTTCATCTTCTTTGCTTGCATTTGTTATGGTAAGAGAATACATATCACCCACTTTTGTGGCATTGAATCTTGAGTTGGTAAATTTTCCCTTTAGTGATATTTTGTCAAAACTTCCTGAGGCAATTGTTTCAATCATGTTTCCAAAATTCAGCTTATACCAGTAAGACAACCCAACATCATCGTTAGGGATTTTACATGTCAGAGTCACATTATCTCCAAGTTTAGTCACAGTTATAGAGCTCTGGAAAGGACCCTCATCTCCTTCGGTCAAAGCTAAAAACAAAACAAAACAAAATACCGTATCAGTTAGATTTGAACATGACAGGACAAAGCACCTTCAATTTAACAAATATTACTCAACCCTATATCACAGTGTCACATGTTTCAGTGAAGTCAACTTACACAATGTACTTAGAAGAATCAAAGAAACCAGCCTTCTGATCATTGTGGTACCTCAGCCTTCTCTTGCACAACTGATGTCTTCCAACTCAAAGGAAGACTTGGTCACAAGATGATCTGGGGGTACAAAGTGGAAATTACAGTCATTGGCTGAAACACAGAAAATCCACTTCCTGTAAAATTTTACAAACCATTTTAGTGAAACTTAGCTGTACAGTTTGTTTTCACTGATTATTCTCCAGCATAATCTGTATTTGAAAACCTAAATTGTACATAGATATAGGTTAAAAATATATATACATTGAGATTAATGTTTTATTATTAAAGCAAAGGAATAGCTACTAGTTCCTACAGTTATAGATTTGGCATTGAGGATTGTAATTACTCCAAAAATTGTAACGCAATGCATGATTTCATGATAGTCTATTCTCCACTAAATCTCTTGATTTCTTCCTCTCTTAAAAATTGCAAAAGTGATCTGAATACTTTGATTTTGGTAGTGATAAAGAAAACCCTTGTATTCATAGTCTGTTTTTAAAGACCGTCTTCTCATCAAATTCAGTATTTGAAAATGACAGTTGGGCAAGAAGTTTTATCAATTCTTTGATCAGAGGTTTTAAAGGCTGAAATCAATCCGAGACCCTCAAAACATCAATGACAAACAACTGACAATGTTTTTTTTTTTTTCATCTAACATTACATTGCAGACAGGTACGTGCATTAGAAGAAGCCTTGGCTTATTGAGCAATTCTCAATAAGAGCCACACAAGTGGTGTCCTCTTTTAAACTCATCAACCACAACATTAAACCACTGACACTGAAACCAGGCCGTTGTACTGGTGGAAATATTACTGTGATACATACCAGCCAACTAAAAACTGCTATAGCCCAAGCAAACCCCTCATGGCAAAGGCATTCAACAATTGCAGCAGCCTCACCTAAACGATACACTAGCCCCAGTTTATTTAGCACTACCACAAAAACTGAAACATCTAGGCCCAGCAAGGTGACAAATGCTCTGTTGCCACCTGCTGGTAAGTTTTTCATTCTTTTAATGTTATTCCACAGTGATTCTTGAAGAAGACAATTACAAAATATATTGCCTAAATGAAAAATTATGCTTTCATGTAAATGTCTCTGCTTTGTAAAAATATTAGATTATGAAAATAAAAAAATATGCATTTGTTAATCTGTCAGTTAAACCAGTAAATGATTAATAAATAAAGACCACCGCTGCTGCTGCTTTTGTTTTCTTTCTATGCAGAATGTAAATGCATTTTTACACTACATTTAAAAAAGTAATTATAAAGATGACCTAACACTCTGCAATTACATTGTGTTTGTCATTGTACAATTGCCCTGTATTCGTAAATGCCACCATACCATACCTAATCGTAAGATTCGTAAAGCCCACTTGTGTGGGCAGAAGGAACCAAACAGATGTGATATACCACCAGGCCCTAGTCACTCTTCTCCATGTGTCCTAAGACTATTTTGGTCACTAATTTTTAATCCTATTTTTACTGACATGTGTGGACAATATATGACTTCAGACTTTAAATCTTAAATCAGTTCCCTGAGGTAACCATCTTATCACTATGATAACATCTCATCCTCGTCAAATTAAATTTAACTGCCTTTATTATTATTATTATTTACATTCTCTAGTGATTAAAAAATATGTCACATTAAAAGTGAATTTAACAAATGGCAATGCCAGAAAGTGGATTCTCTCCATGTGGATGTAGTGTTTTTCATTCATCCAAATCAATGTTTTCAGTCTCACAGTCTGATACGTGTATACCAGAGTTTTAAAAGATGTGGGACACTGTGTAAAATGTATATAAAACAGTATGGGACATGTTTACCACTGAGTAGCATCCCCTCTTCTTTTAACAACAGTTCATAATTGTTTGGGATTTGAAGAGACCAGTTGCTGGACTTGGTGAAAGTTGCCCCATTATTGTCCAATAGCTGTTCAACAGTCCTGGGTCTTCTTTGTCATATGTTTCAGAGCCAGTTTTTAGTCAGCCTCCTGTCAGAGAGCACAGGGTTTTCCAAAATGTATGTGCAAAACCTACTATCCTCTCAGCTTGCAAAGCACCAGCCTTTGGTAATGAAATATGGAAATTCCCATTAAAAATACAAAAAATATACATTCCAGTAGCTCGGCATCAAGCTGGCTTTCAAAGACAATAGCCAACTGTCATTTCCATAAGGAGAGGTCATTGGAAAGAGTGAACAGAGTGTTGATAGATGCTTGGCTCTTAGACTCTGATGGCCCATTTCGGCAGAATGAAACCCCAGCTGTGAAAGCGATTGGAGCAGGACCTCGAGCCGAGACGCTGGTGGTGGAGATAAAAGTGGCGTGAATGGAGCTTGAATGATGAGAGGAGGAAATATGGAGGAGGTGGGGTGCACAAAGGCATTTCAAGGAGAAAGACAGGTTGCATAGTTACATTTAAAGTATGTGTCATGAATGCTGATTGGAGAAGAATTTTTCTCCAGGCAGAGAAGCTTTGTTTACACGTGGTGGACGTCACCATCCTGAGACATTTGACCCAGTGTTTTGAATTTTCTTGTGTTTTGATGTCATTATGTTTCATGTTTAAGTCCTCTTTGGTAGTCTTACGTTGATTTTCTAGTGCCTAGTTTGTTTCTGTTTAGATTTTTATTATTTAGTATTCCTCCCTTGTGTCTTTGCCCTCTATGTCTCCCTCTGTGTGGCTGTGATTGTCTTTGTTGTGAGTTCTTGAGACTTGCTTCCCTCATGTTTCATTCTGTTCCCTGTCATGTTATCCATATTTCCTCAGTCATGTCTCCGTGTGTCTGTCTGCCCCTCTGTGTGTGCGTTCCCGTTACTCCCTGTTTTACTTTTTCTTTTTTTACATTACGTCATATCTCTCTCTGGGATGAGTGCCGGTT